GAGGTGTTATAGTAACAAGCGAGATGGCTTTTAGCATAGCTGCTAGGTCTTCGCACATTGTGACCTCCGAGATTTGTCTTTAGTAAATCGCACCCGAGAGCAGGAGTGATCTGGGCCATGACATTTTTGTGAAAAACACTGGAAATTCTAGAGTACGGTTGCCTAATTGAGTCAGCCGGACATTGGCTTCTTGCTGCTTATAGTGAACACTGCAACTTATTTGTTGAACTTCTCTTACTACTAAGAACAATTCGCCAGTTCATTCCTGTAAGGGTACTTGGCAATTCCTTCTGGACCTCAACAATACAAAGCCTGACAACAGTGAAAAGTGACCCCGTCAGTTGTGTATTACAATATTCGGAATCTATGAAATCTATTAACGTACGACTGCACCACTGTATATATTTCAATGTCAGAAAGGCAGCGCCAATTGATTCGGGGCAATTATCAGCTTGAAAAAAACCTGCATGCTAATATGGAGATCTTTGAAAATAGGCATCCCAAGAAAGATAATTTGATACAAAATATTATTTGGGAAACAAGAGAAAACTATATTGTAAATTTTCGACGCTGGCACACCAGGTCGTCTTCGGACGTGAGGAAAATGTGTGAAAGACACCTGAGGAAGTAACAGATCCAAGTGGCGCACAAGCCAACGACAACACTTCGAAATCAGCTTGTACACCCTAAAGATAGGGTTGGCTATTTGAACAGAAAAGAGGTGGTTTAGAAAATTCCTTGCGGTGGCTGTGACGCAATTTACTGCGGACAAATAGGAACGTTAGCCTCTACGCGCATATATGAACATCAATTAGCGGTAAAGAGGCGCGACCACCTGTCCGAAGTCACCATCCATTCGCTTGAAAGTGGGCGCAAGTTTGCATGGAACCAAACCCGCATAGTAGGTTCATGCCCATGTAAGAAAGGCCGAGAATTGTTGGGGGTCATTAATTCTGACGAATCATGCATCAACAGGCATGTTAATTTGGATTCAATCTATACCAATCTCAAAAAAGCCCGGAAAAGTCGCCTACCGCCAAAACATGCTATTGACCATGGATGACTAATCATTATCGATTTTTCGGCACTTTTAAAAATGCGC